CATTTATTAATACATTTCTGTATTTTATTTCAGTATGCATCGCTCCGCGGTACATCGAATTCTTCAAGAGAACGAGATGCACCCGTATAAGTTTATACGGCCGCATAATCTAAATTCTGAGGACTTTTCACAGCACCTGCAGTTTTCAACATGGATCTTGGGGAATTATTATTAATCACAGGAGCAATCCAGGACAATATTAAAATAATCGGCCCCTTTCGGACACCCTCGGAGGCATCGGGAGGGACAATACCTTTTACCTGGGATTCTCCAGAAAGTGAAAGTGAAAACAAAAGTGTTTTGAAATAAAGACAGTGTAGTGACCTGTGAGTGCCACCAGCTGTGTTGTAAGGTGCCAATGTCTGCGACAGGTCAACATCGGCAGGACGACCCAGTGGCAATTACCCCATCACTTTCACTCTCGGATTATTAACAAACAGGATTATTTTCAAAGAATGGGTGAGTCTAATTTTAATAAATTTTCTGTAAATTAGTAGAGACGTTAATACATTTGTTAGATCTCACATTGGAACTCTATTTTATCACAAACAGAATAAGTATTTCCTATTAAAATATGTAAATTCGTTGGCCAATATTATTGTCGGAAATAAAACAAAAAAATTTCGATATTTAATGTCACATTCCTTGTCGATAACGAATTGCAGTATTCAATAAATTCCATTTGCATACTTTATGTCAATTACACATAACTAATTCTGATCCTCCTTCATGAGGAATGAATAAATGAACATTACTTTTAATTATTCTGTTTGTTATTTAACTGAGTTTCGATGTAAAGACTTCTTATTAGACGTTAAGACAGTTCCGAGGAAAACTCAGTTGATCGCGCTCGCACTCCGGCGACCGGCTCGAAGCTTTCGCTCTCGCTTCTCGGCGCGCGTAATCCCGGCGCTCTGATTGGTCCGTGTTTTTCGTTAATAACTCGAAAACGACGCTTCAAACCCGATTTTTGCAAAGGAAAATGTTGCTTAGAATCACGTCACCTACCCCCCATTTCAGGGACCTACACGAGTTGTGAGACACCCTGTATACTCTAATATCAATTATATTATATACTTCTTATACGTGTAATATTGTCTCTTTGTAAAAATTTAATTTCAACACAATTTTCCCCAAATTGATAATAGATGTGAAAACTTAGAAATATAAAAATCTTCCAGTTCTTAAAGAAGCCTAAATTACACCTGACTGTATTCTACTTTATACTGAATGTGTTAACCCAAAGACTCAAAGCAAAAAGATATTTTTTCCTCGTCAACGCGATCATATCTACCGCCGTCTCACAATTCCAAGCGACGAGACGATTACTCTGCGATCGGTGACGTTTTCGATCCAAGGATCACAGTAAGAGGACATCGTGTCACCTGGGTGTCGAAGCACAGCGAACAGTCTGATTCATATCCGACAAAATACCGAACTGCCAAATAATATATTTCACCGCTCTTCTTTACTCCCCTCTTTACCGTTTTTAAGCCCTACTTGTACAAAATGAGAGGAAATATAGCAAAGACGTAACGATAATAGAAGTCGAGGCGTTGCGATAAAATGGTGGCGTGTATACCTGCATCGTATTAGAGAATGCGAGATACCTGTACCTTCGGGACGATGCTCTCCTGGTGTCGTCCGCTTTTATTAGTTTAAAAACTGCGTTTCATCCTTTTGTTTTTTATTTGGTTACGTGTACTAGGTGTTGCGAGCACCGGTTACAGGAGAAAGAATTTATCAAATTCGGGACAAGTTGAATCGTTTCAACGTGACGTTGACGTCGATGGGTTGACTGGCAAAGTGATTTTCTAAGTTGTATAACTTTGTTAATATCTTTATTATTTGGTCTCTATGTTATATCAGGTCTGTTCAAAGAAAGATAATAAGAACTCCAGTTTTATTATTGTTAACCACTACCCTGGTTACGTTGTGGAAATAACTTCTTATAAATATATTTTTGACGTTATGTAATTTCTTTAAGAATCAAGGTTGCATTATGTGATTTTAACAATGAAGGTGTGGTGTGTAGAAAAGAAACAACTGAGAGATTATGTAAAAAGCATACGTACATTGGACAACTCTGCGTTAAGTTACTAGAAACAGAGGGGTATCATTCTTTTACTTTTTAAAAAGCTTAAAATAACATTATCATATTAACCTTAAAAGAGAAGTATATCATTGTTGTTTCTTTGATTCTATTTAATCTTTGAACAAGAAGAATAAATTTAATGTTGTACTGACTTTAAAGGACAAAATTATTTTAAAAAGAGAACATATATTCTAAATGCTCATACTTTATTATCAATGTAGTCTTGTAAATATTTGCATGACACATTGTCATGTAAAAAGTATGATTCTCTAATTCTTCAACTTGATATCACACTAAGCATATCATAGTTATTCTCTTCATTTCTTTCATGTGTCTACACTTATTTAAATATATATTTCTAATCATTCTTACTGTAGTATTAAACTGTTTGATATCATTCAGCAGTTTAATAATGGTAAATGAAAATGATTTGTCACAAGAAAAAATTTTATTAACAGATCAATTAATGATACTTTCACTTAATCTTGATATTGTGAAAATCATTTTGCCATGCAACGCATCAATGTATATTTTAGAATGTTAACTGTAATATTTAAGAGTTCGGGTATATTATCGTTGAAACGATGCAACAATTCCATAGTTTTCATAGTTACGTTGTGTAACTAGATTACACGTTAATTAGCAATCGCTGATGATTAGATTCGCAAAATAACCCCCTGATTTGCAATCGAGTCGTTTTCAGAGGAATTGGCGTGTATTTAGCGAACGTAGACCCATCATTGCGTCCTTTATCCCTGTGTTACCATTTATTATTAATCTCGAATTTCCTTCTATCTTTCATTTTTATTCTATTTTTTTTCTATGTGACAATTTACAAATCATTGTTAAACAATTTTGATCAAGCTTTTGAGATTTTTTTAACGTTCCACCCATTTGCACCGAAATTAAAAATGATTTTTATCGTAAAATACTTTATTGTGTTACAAATTTTAAATAACAGAAAAATTTAAAGATAACAATTTTTTATTTGAACAATTTTTTAATCAAAGAATTTTGTATGGGTTTTAAAATATATTATGAGTCATCCATCATTGAAATATTTAATATTTAATTGTGTCGTATTTAAACAAATTTTATTTTAACAAAAAAAAATGGAAGAAATACGAATTTATGTTTGTACAATTAAATATCGGTGTAAATGGGTAAACATAACATATATAATCATATGAAAACCTTTTTTGAGATTTATTTTCGTGTGTGAGTAAATTATCCCCTTTTTTAGAGGCAGCCAAAATTTTGATTATGAAATATAATATTCGTAAATGATCATAAAAGGAAGCTTTCATATTTTAGACGCGCTATTCGTTTGTTTGTTTTTTCTAAAACGAGTACCTACCATTATTATAATTAATTGTAATTATTATAATTATTAATATTATTTTATTATTACTCGATCATTATCGTAGCGACGATCTTTCTGTTTACCGTTTTCCTCTTTTTTTTCTAATGTATTATACCCTGTACATAACGGTGTAAATGTTTATCGACGATTTACATAAGATAGAACGAGCACTTGTAATTTTTCGTAACGACGAGTGGGTGGATTGGTGGATGGTATTTTCCGTTTTCAGTTCTGTGTAACGTATGTTTGTAACAGGCACGCGATTATTAATCTTTTTATTGATCTTTCATCGTGTTCTGATGAATGTGCAGACGTGTTAAGAAAGACAAGAATTTTGTTACCTGTAGTGGCAGAAAATTTGCAAATTTTTATATTTTTAAACTCTCGCAAATGTAAAGATTTAAAAATTGGGTGCTTTGGAAATTTGGAATTATACAAATTTAGAAACTCCAGGTTTCAATTTTCCAAATTTTTGAACCTTCAAATATTTAAGGTGATTGAGAAAATTTAGAAATTTCCAAATTTCTAAACTTTGAAATTTAATAATTTAAAAATGTTATGGCTTGATAATTTAGAAATTTAGAAATTGCAAAATTACACCACTTATATTGTTATAATATTAATTCTATTGTAATAAATTATATCATTTTATAGGAATGTTTGAAAGAATAAGAAAGAAACAAATTATACAGTTTGCAAAAGTGTTTCTAATTTTTGATATTGTTAAATTGAATTAACAGTGACCTAACTTCATCTTTAATCAATTAATCTATCAAATCAACTGAGTAATGAATATTATAATCATTTTGAATAAATGACACTAAACAAGTTTAGGGTAATATCTACGCTAAAAACACTTATATCCACACGTCTACATATTCATCATATGATCTTAAAAACTGTTATTTCCCAGTACGAAAAATGATTGTATAACTTATATCAAATTCAAGTATATGATTGATTTAATCGACCATTGATCATCCACTGTCGCTGTATGATGCGTGCCTGACGGTGTGGGTGAATCTTAATATTGTTAATAGATATACGTACCTAATGTTATTAACGATTAATTAACATTTGATTTGTAATTAACGGGACAATGTAATTCTGGAGGCTCGTCCCGTTGAAGTCGTATTTAAAGGCGATTGTTTATCAGCCTTAAACGTTACCCATTTTTTTACAAAGAAACTTGTTAACCAGCGTAGAATTTTGTAAAAAACGAAAAGTAAAAAAAAGAAAGAGAACTATTCGTCGACGTTTTATGGTCGACGATCTTAATCATAGCTGCGACTTGTGCGAGATTTGAGCTTTTTGAATTACTTGTCCAAGCGGACCCTACTAATAAACGCCATAGTGGTCTGAGAAATAATTGGCTCGAAGAAATTAAATTTACTTTAACAATTGTCTGCCTTATTGCACACCCTTTTAGTTCCTCTGTCTTTGATTAATTTTTATAATTTTAGAAATGTCTCAGAAGTCATTTCTTAGGGAATTTTTGTTAGTTTATGAACAATAAATGAAATTATTACTTAAACTTAAATTATAGTTCTTAACTCAATATTATTATCGAGAGATAATTTTTCATAACTCAAATTTATTATTTTTTTTATTTAATTATTATAAAGTTTGACACGTTGATATAAGCTTAAAACATACAAGTTTAAAAATAAGCTTGTATGCTAGAACATATTTTATCTGAGGGAATTAAAGACATGTTAAATTTTATTCTCTTTATTATTTCAAATAACAAATTTTGATAAATATTGTTTTTTGAGCGAGCGAGCCGAAGGCGAGTAAAGCTCTTATACTTGACATTGCAACTTCTTTGTCCGCGTTTTTCTTTTGCACTACTCAACCAATTCTCATCAAATTTTGCATGCAGATGCATATGTACATTCAGATGGACATAGAAAAAAAAATTTTGAATCGGACTTGCCACGGAAGAATAATCACCGAAAAAACTGATCCTAAAAAGTGAAGGTCCGAACACGCATATAAGGAAAATAAAAAAATGAATATTGCGGCACATTGACGACGTAGTATGGTTCCTGAGTGATTTAGAAACAAATTTCTATTAAGGTTTGATGCGTTTTGATGCCTAATAAAGCCAGGAAATCAATTTTTGTCGAATTCGGTTCAAATCGGTACAGGTGGCGCCATCTAGCGGCGAGCGGCGGAACTACGAAAAACTAAAATTTCGATTTTCTCAAAAACTAGGAACTTTTACGAAATTCTGAGATATACAAATTGTTCCTTGTAGCCTACGAAATTGAATGAATCTAATTATAGCCTGCTAGGACCATTATTAAAGAAAATAGAAAAATAGCTCATTTCATGGACTAAAAAATTGGCGTCCATCTAGCGGTGAAAGTTGGAACTACAAAAATATAAAAATGCGATTTTCTCGAAAATTAGCGAACTTTGAGTACTTCCGAGGCTCAAAAAGTGTTATGTGATGACATTAGAAGCAAAATAATGCAACAAAAGCTTCCTAAAGGCTTTAATAAAGAAAATAAAAAAAATGCCATTTTATGGAGAAAATTTGTGGCGCCATCTAGCGGAGGAACCGCGAACTAAACTGAAAAAACGTATGTCCGAACACGCGTTAAGAGGTAAAATAAAAATTGATTTTCTGGGCTTAATAGGCAAAAAAATGAATAAC